CTACGCTTCGCGTATCCACGAGTTTAAAAATGTATTTCGAATTCTGCTCATAGGTTTGTGTAAATGTCATGGTAGTGAGATCGGCGTGTTCTTTGCCAGGCACTACAAAGTTTCTTCGCCCATGCACCTTTCGCACAAATGGTGCCTAAATTTGAATAACAATACTTTTTGCATCCTTGGCCTCACGTTCAGGTGAAAAATCCTTTGTCTGGGAACATATGTACGAAGCTAAGGGTGTATAAAGTATTGTTATTCAAATCCAGGCACCATTCATGCAAAAGTTCTATGCATGTTTACTCATAGTCATTCCTAATTTTTACTTGGTGGAAAGAAGGAAATAACAGCAATTACTCCGGAGTTTGCAATTAGCATTGTTGGGCGAAAGGCGTATCATGGAAAGACGGGGAGAACAGAAAANAAAAAAATGATGGTTATCACTTCCATCAAATGGGTAGACTGAAATAGCTTCAATGACAGATCGATCCACTAACACTTTGCGTCCTCGTGTTTTCAGGGAGTTTTGAAAGTGCGTAAGCGAGTCACCTTGAGTGTGATGACAGTCAGTGCCATCTTTGGAATCTGCTGGATTACTGGTTTATTAATTTATATCTTAAGCTACTTCGACATCTACATATTTGGCCGTTTCTCCTACGCCATCTCCGACTTGATGTTCATGTTCAATTCTGCTGTCAACCCTTTCGTATATTCTCTGCTGAACGAACGATTCAGGGAGAAGATCAAGGAACTGTTATGTTCCACGTGTGCAGCCAAAGTGTGCCCTTCAACAGAAAGTTACAGCACTAAGCTACCCAACATCGCCTCTCATGTCACCCGCACTGTGCAGGAATAAAATCAATGGAGTAATGCCTTTGGTCAGGAAGAAAACTGTACATATTCCTAGGAAACGTTCTCACATGGCGGGCTGTGTAAAAGAACATGGCGGTTACTTAATAAGGTTGTGCAACAACAACGTTTTCGAATTTATGTCTTAAAGGGAACCTTGAATGGGTTCTCTTTTACAAAGGAAGGAGCTTAAGCACTGTATTTCATGACCCTATATATTTCGCTTTCCTTGTCTTCAATTTTTGCTGTACTTTTAGTTTTGTGTAACAATAGGGCAGTTTTCAATTGAGTGTCGTAAAACCAAAACCAAAGCAATTACTTATCANGTTACAGCACTAAGCTACCCAACATCGCCTCTCATGTCACCCGCACTGTGCAGGAATAAAATCAATGGAGTAATGCCTTTGGTCAGGAAGAAAACTGTACATATTCCTAGGAAACGTTCTTACATGGTGAGCTGTGTAAAAGAACATGGCGGTTACTTAATAAGGTTGTGCAACAATAACGTTTTCAAATTTATGTCTTAAAGGGAATCTTGAATGGGTTCTCTTTTATAAAGGAAGGAGCTTAAGCACCGTATTTCATGACCCTGTATATTTCGCTTTCCTTGTCTTCAATTTTTGCTGTACTTTTAGTTTTGTGTAACAATAGAGCAGTTTTCAATTGAGTGTCGTAAAACCAAAACCAAAGCAATTACTTATCAGGTACTGACCGTGACTCAG